ACATGTTGTGGAGAGAAAAATATCTGCATTTCCAAATCAATTTTATGTGATTGTAAAACTATTCATCAAAAATAGACTTCTTTTTTTTTAAAGGAGACTTTCATCTCAATAAAATCTGTTATAAATCTAGAGTAATGAAGATAACATAGAATTACATGACACATGACACTCAGAAAACTGGAACACAAAGGCAGACCTATAACCACCCTGATTCAGGACAGTCACAGCCCCTCAGAAGGGGGTCTCATTTTTGTAACATAGTGCAAAGGTATTTGCAATCAAATTCCAATTTAATTTATTCAAAACATATTTTAAGTTAATAACCTTATATATGAAAAGTAAAATTTCGAAATATACATATATATTTATGACCTTGAATTATGGATAAAGTAGTCAACAAAATTGAAAAGTATTACCAGATCAAACTAAGCACAATTTAGATGTTATTGATCAAATCGCAGTATCAAAAAAATCAAGGCATAGACTAGAAAATATTTGAGCATATATATCTAAAAAAGAGATTTTATCCAAAATATACAAGATACTTCTTCAGACCAACCAGAAAACAAATAAAAGCCTCATATCGGAAAAAATCATAAAGGATATGAACAAGCTCCTCAGAAGACTCTATACTGATGGCCAGTGAATGTGAAAATGTGCATCACTTCATAAATGACAGACAAATGCTAATTAAATTTATATATGAAGTCAACACACACTTACTAAAGTTCTAAAAATCGAGAAGACAACACAAATGCCAGCAGGGATATGAAGCAACTGGAACTCTCATGCTTCATGATCTTAGTACAGATACACAGGCAAAATGTTTATGTTTTGAAGAAGCAAAGTAACCAAACCATAGTAGGCTTGGTTTCTGGGAATTTGTCCTATTTTATTTTTATCTAAGCTGAGCTAAGTAACATTATGAAAATTCAATGGATTTCAGAATTCTGACTTTTCCTCCATTAAGTATGTATGTTATATTTCAAAGCATATATAAAAAGTGTAAAATTGATTTTTATATGTCAATTATCTTTAGTTTCTTGGAAAAAAAATCAAATAAGCCTACACAAGAAAACTGATTCATCTACTCAGTACTCTTATAACAAAACATTAATGCCATCTTCGATTGTTCTAAAACTTATACCTACAACCAAAACTTATTTCAACAAAATAATATTTAGAACTTCCGATTGCTAAGAACTGCGTGTATAAATTAAAAGGATACTGAAATATATTAAATTTAAAATTTGGAAGGAAATGGTAAAATGAAATGCAAGAACAAATAAGGACGCTTGGTGGCGCTGCAGGATAAGAGTGTGAAGAATGGGCTCTGCAGATGCCCAGGACGCCATCTCTTCAAGCTGAGAACCAGAACTTTGGCTGTTTGAAAGAGAAGGTAATAAGAAAGGTTTCTGGGAGAATTTGGGAAGAAGGTGCCTCTCTAATCCGATTTAGTTGAATATTTTAATGACCCCTGAGTGGATTATTATCGACTAGAAGAAGCAGCGCCCTCTGGACTGCATCTGAACAATGGAGACAGATCTATCAAAAACGCCAGAGAAAAGGCAAGTCATTTTACTTACTATATTGCTGCTTTTGTGGGAGGCTGATTCTGAGGCGATTAGATATTCCATGCCAGAAGAAACGGAGAGTGGCTACTTGGTAGCTAACCTGGCCAAAGATCTGGGGCTCAGGGTGGGGGAACTGGCCACCAGAGGGGCACAAATCCATTCCAAAGGAAACAAAGAGCTCTTGCAGCTGCATGCAGAGACCGGGAATTTGCTCCTAAAGGAAAAACCAGATCGTGAGGTGCTGTGTGGGGTGACAGACCCCTGTGTGCTGCATTTCCAGCTCATTCTGGAAAACCCTGTGCAGTTCTTCCAAACTGACCTGCAGATCACAGACATAAATGACCATGCTCCAGAGTTCTCTCACAGGGAAATGCTCCTAAAAATCCCTGAGAGCGCACAGCCAGGGACTGTGTTTCCTCTGAAGGCAGCTCAGGACTCTGACATAGGGAGCAATGCTGTTCAGAACTACACAGTCAACTCCAACCTCCATTTCCATATGGTTACTCAGAGTCGCGCTGATGGCAGGAAATACCCAGAGCTGGTGTTGGACAGAGCCCTGGACAGGGAGGAGGAGCCTGAGCTCACTTTAACCCTCACTGCTGTGGATGGTGGGTCTCCGCCCAGGTCTGGGTCTACTACAGTTCGCATTGAAGTTGTGGACATCAATGATAACGTCCCCCAGTTTGTACAGTCGCTCTATGAAGTGCAAGTCCCTGAGAACAGCCCCCTCCATGCCTTAATTGTCACGGTCTCTGCCAGGGATTTAGATGTGGGACCTTATGGGAATGTAGCCTACTCTCTGTTTCAAGGTGATGCAGCTTCTCAACCATTTGTAATAGACGAGGTCACAGGAGAAATTCGTCTGAGTGATGAGTTGGATTTTGAGGTAAATAGCCATTATAACATAGAAATCACAGCCA